TCTCCAAGGCCTTCTGTCTGTGTAGATCCTAGTGATTTGGACATGATTTCCTGAGATCTGGCAATTTGTCTCACTTTTATATTTCTAATTTATAATGATTATATACATTCATTTTCATGGCTGACTTAGGTGTCTCTATTTCACTTTTTTTAAGTGTTTAGCAGGTGTGTATGTATGTGTATCTTCATTATATGTGTTAACATGGTTATGATAATGAACTATCATAACCTGGGGGCTTTCTTTAGTAAGTAGTGGGGGTGTCCAGCCAAGTGTGCCTAGAAATATATATATATATATATATATATATATATATATTGACATATTTTGTAGTGCCAATACTTGAGTTGCCCTACTCCAGAGATAAGTTGATCGTATATTGGCCACGGGGAATCCCTTAGACCAATACGAGCCAAACGACTCAACAAAATTATCTCTGAGTGCTGCTGGTTCTGAAGGAGAAATGTGGGTCTATCTTTGTTCTCCCCACATTGGGTTCCCGGAATCCACAGGGGTGAAAAAAGAACTAAACTGCGAGCCCTGTGTGTAAGATGACCGTAACCTCCTGAGCTGAAAACGGGACATTTTACTAACACTGAAAAGTGACAGGAGACATTCCTTTCAAATTTTCAACCGAAACGGGACATTCCAAGCAAGTAATTTTAATCCCACCTTTGGGTGGGGGGGGGGGGGGGGAGGGGGCGGGGCACCAGAGTGACAGGATAATTTACTCGCTCGACAGTGGTATTACAAACCGAACCATTGTCACCAAGAAATAAACGAAACAATATGATCTTCAGCCGTGCTAAACAAAATAAAAACAAACAAAAAATGAAGAAGATGATGGTGATGATAAGGTAATGCAGGGGACACTTTGGTACACACAATAATATCAGAGAAGCGCTCGATTTTTTTCTGCACGTATATAAATCAAACACTTAACACAGATACCACAGGGTCAACAGTTTAGGATTGTTGTCAATTATTATCTGTCTCGGACTTAAACAAACGCAGTAACATAGAATCTTGGTACAGCCAGCTTCCATTGTGTTCATTTATTTTTTTAAATATACTTTCTTCTGTGAATTTATAGCAGGTAGTTTTATTTTGTGTGGACCACTTATTTAAAAAAAAATGTATTTTACATTCACAAAGGGGCGTGGTTAATTCCGTATGTACGCAATAACATAACCTGAATCCTATTACTGTCTACGGTAGTCATCGTAATCAACATGATCATCGTCATCATCATCCTAAACCACTTTTGCCTTTAAGCGCCGTGGGGAGGAATAATTTAGTATTTCTAGCCATATTTCTTTAGCATGCTCAAGCCAAATGTAAAATGTATAATTAAACACAGTTCTTTGTTTGATGCACACCTGTTATAGTTGATCACACACTGTACCTTGGTTGTGACAGAAAGACTTAACTCTCATAGCATATCTAGGGAAGGGAGGTCTGTGTGCTTCCCTTTGTTTCTTCAGGTGGTTGTAGTAAAAAAATTTTTTTTTAATTTGATTATTATCTTAAAAAGCTACATTTTTGTATTTTTTTAACATACCTAAATTTAATATTTAAAAAAAAATTTTTTAGAAACGTTTTTGAAGTAAATGAACTAGACCTGACCCTAAACATAGGTTTAAAGTTCATAAATCAATCATCTGTTTCTCAATACCTCTGTTTGTTTTTTAAATCTTAGTGTTCTAAGTAATTTTTTTTTCCCATTAAGATGGCGGCTGCTGCCATGGCAACCATGTTTTTTTTTTTAACTTGAAGTGTGCAAATGTATCATCATACATCCCTACAAATGACCATTATAAAATAATTGGTCTAACATTGTAAATAAATAAAAAAAAATTTCCCCCTGAAGTGACCCCTACACTGAAACTCACAGGGGCATTGACGAAGAGCAGGCCGACAATTACACAGAAAAGGGAGGTAAACATTGACGTTAACATGTTGGGGAGGACAAAGGGGGAGCTGCAAATGATAGCAACAGATAGGGCGACCTGGCCTGAGTTGGTTGATTGCATTTACTTTACTGGGGCTAGGAGGTAAAAAATGCAGAAAAAGTAATATAGTGTAACCTCAGATTGATTCATTTAAATCTGTCAAATCGGAAAACTATACAATATTTTAAGAGAATTCTACTTGTGAACTTTGGAGAAAAATTAACATAAATAAATTTACTCACCTTTCCAGAATGAAATTTTTTATTTGAAGCTCCACCCTGGCTTTTGCCGGAGACCGCAATATAGGCAGGCCATAAATACGATCAATTGTCTGAACGCGGCTTCTGAGACCTCTCCACGGCAATCCTCATCCGCATGGTGGCACTTTGTGTCATCGGGTGTTTATCGCTTGTGCGATGTCCTGGTGGGGTAGGAAGTCAGTCAGTCATAAAATGATTTTCAAATTTGGCCAACAAAGACTTTAAGATAAAAGAACACTACGCATGAAAAGGTTACTTGCCTTACTGATGTGCATCACTAGCCAAGTATTTAGCACACTCTTCTCGTGGCCCTATTGTCCCGACCCTCCTTTGAGGCACACACACACACACATACACACACACACACACAAGTCGACCTCAGTGTAGACCAGGCTCAGTAAAAATCCCTATCCACCATGTGCTATGAAGGTGAAAAAATGAATTCACAAAACAACAATGCATGGCTAGGGAAGCGGAACTAGGAAAAAGAGGAAATAAACACAGATAGAGACTACTACTCTTTGTCGGATGTTGGAACCCATTTTCTTTTGATCGAATTAAAAAAAAAAGGAATGAAAAAAGATTACATTTTAAAGTTTAGCGTAATTTTTTTTAATATGAGTAGATATAAAACAAGGAAAAGTAGATTCAGTAGGCGTCATTATTTCACAAAGTGTGCCAAAAGTTGTTGTAATTCTGTGAGGAAGTAAAGGACCCTTTTCCACGTCTTCAGTCCTATTGGGCATATAGGGCTAGACCTATATTATACAAACCAATCGTCTCTCGGTGGGTGATGTCGTTAACATAATGCTGACCTCCTTTACTTCCCATGACTATTCCTGGTACCCACTGAATCGACCTGGGAGCCAAGATCATATTTTGGAAGAAAAAAAAACAACCCGGCCTACTGAGTCAAGACGCGCACCCACGAACTTCCGATCCGCAGTCGAGCTTCCGACCACTACGCCACGGCGACTTCCTCCGTTAGTAAGTGTGTCTTCAGTTTCTGTAATTTTGTTTTTGGCGCCCAATATTTGATCGTTTGCGTAGTTTTTTCCTTTGTCTGTACTGATTATATTTCTTCACTGCAGCTAGTTCTCTGAGGTAGTTGGTACTTGGCCATTCTTGGTAGCAGGCGGTTCTGTTGTTTTCATAAATTGATTTAAAATAACAACTCACTGAGTAGTAAAGGAAGAATAATTAACAATCTGAGATACAGGGAAGACACAGTGCTACTAACAGCAAGCGAGCATCGGTAGGTAGGTAGGTAGGTAGGTAGGTAGGTAGGTAGGTAGGTAGGTAGGTAGGTAGGTAGGTAGGTAGGTAGGCAGGTAGGGACGTAGGTAGGTAGGTAGGTAGGTAGGGACGTAGGTAGGTAGGTAGGTAGGTAGGTAGGGACGTAGGTAGGTAGGTAGGTAGGTAGGGACGTAGGTAGGTAGGTAGGTAGGTAGGTAGGTAGGGACGTAGGTAGGTAGGTAGGTAGGTAGGGACGTAGGTAGGTAGGTAGGTAGGGACTAGGTAGGTAGGTAGGTAGGTAGGTAGGGACGTAGGTAGGGACGTAGGTAGGGACGTAGGGACGTAGGTAGGTAGGTAGGTAGGTAGGTAGGTAGGTAGGTAGGGACGTAGGTAGGGACGTAGGTAGGTAGGTAGGTAGGTAGGTAGGTAGGTAGATAGGTAGGGACGTAGGTAGGTAGGTAGGTAGGTAGATGCTTTGCTGGGGGAAAATATGAACAATGATCATATTCAACCAGCATCCCCCAAAGGGCAGCTTTAGGTTATAATTGCGACTGGGTTACTTTCCCACCGACGACGAAGTCGTCTACCGGCGAGCCAATGGGCGACCCAGTCACTGATCAGAAACGTAAGGCGAAACGTTCATACACACACACACACACACACACATATATATATATATATATATATATATATATATATATATATGTATATACACACACACTGATAAACCCCCCACGCACACATACACACCCACACACCCACACACACACACCATCACAGTTCATACTATAGACAACTTTGCAGATATAATATATTTAAAGCGAACGAAAGAAGAACTTCCTCACAGCCTTGCTGAACTTCAGGCTATTGGTAACCGACAGGCTCCCTTATTGAACTGTTTTATACTGTTGAACATGGTTTCCTGGATCTGTGCTTGTTTGATTTTCATCCACGAGGTGTTAATCCTAGATTACAAATCTGCAAGTGATTATTTACCTACCTCACCGCCTCCCCCCCCCCCCTCTTCCCCTTCCCTTTTTTCCTGTTGAGCCACTGATCACAATTTATGTCCTGCCACTATAGTTAATTCATTTCTTGATGTGTGCTTGACATAGTGGAATGTATTTCCTGATATCAGCTTGGCATTGTCGAATTGATTCCTTGATATCAGCATGACGCAGTCGACAGTAGTCACCCCTTTGAAAACACTTCTAGGGATTTAGAGGCTTGCTACAGACTGGCTCAGAACCGCTGTGTCCAAACAAGTAGGCCAAGAACAACAATTACCCACGTCACAAGGCACAGAAGAGGTATTTTTATCTTAATCTGACTTTTTTTTTTTTCCTATTCAATGCAGAAACTTGGTAGGGGCTCAACAGTCAAATGACTGTTTGTATCTTTGCACTGATCATTCTATCGTTTCAGGTAGTTTGCAAAATATCAAGGATGAAAGAACAGAACTACGAAGAACGCTTTTTAGATTTATAAGAGATCTCATATTCTGGGATAAGTTTTTAACTACAAAGTGCTGTGTGTATTGTGTATTGTCTTTGCAATGGAGTCAACCTTCTCAGGAAGCGATGTGCAAGAAACTGCTATAGATTTCATTGCAGAAGATAGTGAGACGGTTGTGCCCATTGATGTACATGTGAAGAATCTCAATTATACCATCACAGACAAGCCTGGGAGTTGGTGGCAGAAGCTGACCCATCTACAAGTATGTTATATAAGTTATATCGTACAAAATTACAATATTGTTTTAAGGGTATTGATTTTTCTTTTTATACATAAGGTATTGTTCGCAAGCATGTTAGATAAATTTGTGTGTGTCGTAGCGCACTTTTAACTATACATTTCAAATGTTTTCTTCCATAGTTAGAGGGAATCATAATAGTATGAACTAATAAAGGATACCCTAAAGCAGTTAGCTTAACTCTCACCGCCCCTTCCCCACCCCTTTTTTCCCCTCACCCAGTCCATTTCCATAATGTTTTCTAGAATTTACTATTAATTATTATTATTATTGGGGGTCGCCGTGGCGGAGCGGCTAGACGCTCGCCGCGGATCGGAAGGTCGTGGGTTTGCTCTCTGGCGAATCCGTACTTTTTTCAAAAATAACCTTGGCTCCCAGGTCGACCCAGCCTTGAGTGAGTACCGGGTGCAGTCAAGGGAAAGTAGAGGCAACCGGCCTGATGCTGCAATATCACCCATCTTGTGCCGTTTGGTCTAACAAATATAGGTCTAGCCCTATATGCCTAAAAGCGTGGAAAGGGATCCTTTATTTTACTATAATTAATCCTTTTTTTTTAAGTATCCAGAAGCCATGAGTTGTTAACCCTTAGGCTCGGTATTATGGATATCGCAACCTTTCGGCCTTGATTCCATGATAGATACCGTAAATCTGGGAGAAGTGTGGCTTTTCTGCCTACCCCCGGGCGTGAACCCGGACCACAAGGAGTTCGTCACCCGGTCACCGCGCAATCCGGTTTAGCTAACTACGCTAGCGAGCCGGGCATTATTAATAATCAAAGAACGAATACATGTTTAGAACACCGGAAGAATATATAGACCCATAGAGTGTATAAGTCAATATAATTTACATTATATTTAAATATGATTTGACTACTTACATAGTATTTTTGCCGACTCCAGGTCCAGCCTTTAAGTTGAATTCTAGAAATATTTTTCAGAAGACTCAATCCTCTTTTTAAAGCTTTTTTTTTTTGTGTGTGGTCTTCTTCTTCACAGTCGATCATAAAAGTGCCCACAACTTGTTTTACAGTGTACCATGGTGTTCCTGGTGTGGTCTGCCACACAAACAAAATGTATATTAACCCGTTGTATATGAACTTTCAAATCTACATATTAATCGCTTACAATTTTAACTTCTTGAAATAGAACCTCAAAGTAATAACTACTAAAGACTGAAAGAATTAAGAACTCTCTTTATTATTTCAAGACTGCACACATTCACACATTCTCTCTCTCTCTCTCTCTCTCTCTCTCTCTCTCTCTCTCTCTCTCTCTCTCTCTCTCTCACACACACACACACACACACAGAGACACCAGAAGACATGTTTCAACTCAAGAAAAAGAACAAGCATGTGATCTGGTTCAGTCCTTATCATGATTTACTAAAGGAAGTTCTTCTTCAGTATTCCGAGCCCTTGAGGTTCAGCGTTGCAGTTATCACCCGCCCCACACACACACACACACACACACACACACACACACACACACACACACACACACACACACACACACACACACACACACACACACACACACACACACACACACACACACACACACACACACACACACACACACACACAC